AAATGTCTACAAGGAAAAAAACCAAGAAAATCCAGCTGCCTTTTGAAAAGCACCTTTAGGACAATAAATACAATACTTTATCCGCAAACATGTGAAAAGAATGGCTATCACCGATTTCACATTGACCCATATCTTGTTTTCTCTCTCACATATGCATACTAATAACCCCATTTTACTTCCTTATAGAGATATGTTTTCATCAATAAGCTGGAAAATAGATTCTGATACATCTTAAATGTGGGTTTCCCACAATTATTTTCAGACAATCCTACTAAAGGAGATTGATAACAGCAAAGTCATAGTCAATTGGATTGAGATGGGCAGCTCTATAAATTGAATAAATAAAAAAATAAAAATCTGTGGTTGGAGCAGCTCTGCTACTTTTGCCAATTTAATTTAGTTTTCCCAATCTCTTGTTCTCTGAATGGATTGGTTTATGGTTTCCATCATCTGCAGAGAGGTGCAGAAATCTCACTAAATTGCCTTTTGAATTAATGAATGCAAATCTGTAAGACAGTTGTAGAGTGATACTTCTGTACTTAATGCAAAGCATGTGCACCATTGCTGAACCATTTCAGGAACCAACCAGAATTCTGTGTATCCTGTTAATTTGATAAGTTCAAAAAAAATTGAACAATAATGGCTACCAAACATTCTAAATGGCCAAATATCCCATTCTCACCTGGAGATTTATTAGCAGCAAGTTGCAGAATTAAATTCATCACATTTCTGAGGCTAACAATAAGGGGTATATGAGACCAATGAAGAAGTTCATATTTAATAATCTGAGATTGTCAATTAATAACTATTTTTAAAATACTGTGGAAATGCTATTCCCAAAGCAAATGTTGGTTCTATTTGTTATGATAGGTTTGCTAGCAAACACAGCAGATCTTAGTGATTGATTTCTAAAATACACTTTAAATGTAATTCTTAGATTTGATGACATAATTGTTTGGAAACCTCTCCTTTCCCCACAACATTTTTTTCTTCAAATATTTCCATAAGTTGAAATGGGGATTCATTTACAAACATGTGGGAAGGAGGATAAATATCTTACCATTACAGTCAAACCACATAATAGGATTTAGTATTCCTCTTGATAACACTCTTTCTTCTGTAAGGACAGAATTAATCTCATTAAGTGTTATTGCAAGTGTAGGAAAACAGTTTGTGGTGAGGTCAGTCAGCCAAAAAATGAGATATGTAATTGTAACATATCATCAGAGGAAGGCAGTTTGCTAATGACTTTTGTTGTGGTGCCACCCCATTTAATTATCTAATGTTGACTAATTCAGATTCCCCTATAGATGCAATGGTCCTGTGATTTTCAGATCCCTTTTATTAATGTCATAGAATCCATTTGAAGTGGTTGATGTTCACTGTGAGAATTCTGTGTTTTGATTCCTGTGTGTTTGCGTGAAGCCACCTACCAGTACATTGGACCTATAACTGAGAAGAATGTACATTTCTCTTTGTTCCTTCCTATTGAAAAGCATAGGAATTGATTTATTATGTTTTTTACCAAATATACGCTAGCATCCTCTCAAATTACAAATCATACATAATCAGCAATCTGCTGTCAGTTAACTGATCAAATGATTAAAATTCCAAGTTTAGATATTGGAATGAAAATACCTAACTAATGATGGAATCAATATCACTGCTTTCCAACTGTTTTCGTAAAGATTGCAAATACAATTCTGAAATATTACATTAGACAAAATCAGGAGGTCATATGTATTATTTCCCAGATCAGCCTTCCTCAAATCCTCGTACATCCAGAATATCCCAAATGGCAATGCTACAAGGAAAATGGAATCATAGTTCAAATTGATCATTCTAGAACAGGGCTGTCAAACTCCCGGTCTGCAGGCTGGATGTGTCACGTGCTGGCCACACCCACGCCTGGTTTAGCGAAGGGGAAAAAGACCTCGATATGTTATGTGATGCCGCCATGATGACGCAAGTTTGACACCCCTGTTCTAGAACATGTTAGGTTTGGAAAAGCTGCTGTAAGGGAGTCTGAGCACTTTTTAGGGCTTATACTGAACATTATGGAGACTTACCATCATCCACTGTAAAGGAAAATGTCAGCTATCATGCCTATTTATTTGCACATTTATTTTGTGGGTAGTAAACACTAAATTTGGAATTATACTAGTGTACAACAAAGAGTTAATATGTGGAAAAAGCTCAGATTTGAGCTTTTTTTTTCTATGACAGTGTAAGTGGCAAGGCAATAATACTTTCATGGACTGCTTTTCACTTATGGTGATCTGAACCCTTGCATCCTAAAAAATGTGGTAGCAGATTGGTTACAGACAACTTGGAGCATTGGCAGAATCTGGAAGATAAAATTCCCTCATACACATTTGGAGCTAGATGTTAGCTGGATTAGTCTAGTAAAAACAACTGAGGCTAAATCTAGGAGAAGTCCAAGCCTGTGAATACTGAGGAAAGGGACAAACATTCTCTGCAGCATCAACTTTCCACATGTGGTTTGGATTCCAGCCCTGCTTGGCTGATAACAGAAGGCTAAAGGAAGTGGCTAAAGGAAGAATAAAGGTAGTGATTAGGGCAACTTTTAGAGAGGGTGGCCTTCCTGCCTTGACAAGGATAATATCTGCCCATTGAGGCAGCTATCACACCAGTTTTCAGGTTTTTGAGAAGGTGATAGGCCTAAACAGAAGCAAATGATCTGGACACTTTTCGTTTGTCTTTTGTACAGACTAAGGAAGAAGTCAGGACCTAAAGATATTTAAAGAGGCATGGTGGCACAGTGGTTTGAGAATGCAGCATTGCAGGCTAACTCTGCATTTCATGGCCAGGAGATCGGCTCAAGGACTGAGTCAACAGTCTTCCATCCTTCTGAAGTTGTAAAAGAGGACCCAGATTGTTGGGGGCAATATTCTGACTTTGTAAACTGCTTAGAGAGTGCTGTAAAGCAAAGTGGTATCTAAATCTAAATCTATATAAATAAGTGCTATTGCTAAAGTTCAGAACATCCAAATAATGTTCAGAAATCACTCATAGAGACATCTTTCTAATTCACTGAACTATGAGAAGAGAAGGAGATGGAACATAGGTAGACTTGCAAGAATATGATATTACAGCCAATCTCAATCAAGATACTAAACATACTACGGAACTGATTTCATGAACTGGTTTATCTAGTGAAGCTTCTGAAACTGGCCTTTTCTGACTTGTTGTAGTCTCTGCCCCTAAAGAATGTCAACATCAAAACCTGGGGGAGACATCTTCATATTGGCTTCCCTCCTTTGGAATAGTGTACCCCTAGAGCAGGGGTGCCCAAACTTGTCAACTTTCAGACTTGTGAACTTCAACTCCCAGAATTCTCCAGCCAGCAAAGCTGGTTGGAGAATTCTGGGAGTTGAAGTCCACAAGTCTGAAAGTTGACAAGTTTGGAGACCTCTGCCCTAGAGTGAAAATGGCTCCTTCCTTGCTATTGTTCCAGTGAGCCATTGTGATCTTGCTTATCAGAAAATCTTTGCAGGATAGTATAAACAGCTGAATGCCTCCATATGGTGTTTTGGAGTTTGGAGAATTAGTTGACTTGTTGTAGCCAATATGAGGGGAGAGAAAACAAAATAATAAAAAAAGGAAATAGAGTCAGTTGACCTTTGTTTTCTAATCTTGCTGTCTTTGAACTGGGAAGATTTAGAGACGGCTTTATTATAGCATTTTCTCTCAACTTCCTACCACGGTAGAAGAAATTGGTCATCAGATATTTAAAAGCCTAGATTTTAAAAATCTGTATGTGACACCAAAAGAATCAAAGGAAGCACTAGGCAAAACTTAGAGATTGCCCTATGCAATGATCCAGCCACCATCTTTATCATCTGCCAAAACAGTGGGAGGTCAAAAGAGTTTGCATGTAAAATGTATCTTTAAATGCAAATACTGCAATATATGACTTTTGCATCCAAATGATTAAAAGAGAGGCTTAATTGAATTTCAAAAAGCTGTTTGGAATATCTATTTCAGATTCCATCACTTGTATCATATCTGTAATTGCTAATGACTTTGAACTCTCTGAATCCAGTTCTGAGTCTGACTTGAGTTAAGAACACTTTCGAATTTTCATAATCTTGCTTTGAGATCATCTTATGATATATATGTTGCACATCCAGTACAGATATACAGGCTGTTCTAAAGGCTGAGAAAGCCTATTGTTCATTATAGTTTACAGCTATATTCCAGGATAGTTATATTTTCCATCCTTCAGTTTCTATGTAACCCTTCAAATGATCAGTATTAATTTGCTTCTCAAATGAGAATCAGATGGAGAAAAGCTAAGAAGAGAAGTGGAACAGATTAATATTCAATTGAATCCAGAACTTTTTCATTTAGGATTGATGAATAAACATATAGAAAAAAAGCCATGAACATTATTTCAATATATTGTTACTGTACTGTGGCAAGATTATTAAGTGCACAAAGATGGAAAGATTCAGCACCAGCTTCCATGGAGGAATGGTTGATAAAATTGACAGGACTTGCTGAGAAGACAAACTAATTTCTTTGATTAGAGAAATGACAATATTTATATTTATTGGTGGCTGGAAATTTTTGATTTTTTTGTGTATTTTTTTTTAAGTGAACTTGTGATTTATGGTTTTATGCTTAGACAGGATAGATTGCAGAAAGAAGAGACACATGATGTAATTTTAGAGAGAAAGGTTAAAATATAATTGTACTTACAACTGCTGTGAAAAATATCACAAGTCACTTTGTTATATATTTTTTCCTTTTTCCTACTTTCTTCTACACTTTTTCTTATTGCACATTTACCTTTTTCTTTCATTTCTCTTATTCCTCTGTTCTATTTTAGTTTGTATTAGTTCTTATTATTGCTGTTAAAACTTCTGTTAAAAAACTATTTTTTAAAAATAGAGAAGAGGATCAGTGCAAGCCTTCACAACTCTCCTCTTGTTTTATGATGACTGTCATGTTGCTGGCATGAAGGGTGGGGGGATGGAGGAAGGGAGTGGTAGGGGTGGAAGAGGCCATATATAGCATTTGCTCAAGCCTAAATTTGGACAGAGTTTGCTCTATTTGTGAAACGGAGGAGAAACAAGGCACACAACTTCTAAGACAAGGTATGTTCGTTAGAATTCATTCTAATGATCGAATTTCATTGTGCTATTAATTACTGTAAAATATTTTGCATGATTGCTTGAACTGGTGCTTGAGAACAGTTGAGCTTAGAGAACATATTTATGAGCAAGCTGTAATAAATCATTGAAAGCATTTTCAGGAAGCCTCAATATACATACCATAATTGACCAAGGAATTGTGAAATCCAATGAGTTTCATGTACATTTTTTTTCTTTCTGGTAGTATGTATAGGACTAAAGAGATAGCATGTTTAGGGTTTTTTCTTTTTTTTGAAGTTGCATGCTTTTTTTAAAAAATGGAATCCTTGAGTGTTCTGATATTACTAGAAAACAGACCATGTTCTTTTCTCAGCTTTTTTGTCATATATCCATATATCCAAGAGAAATGTATTGGAATATTTTTGTGACATTAGCTTGCATCTATTTTTCTACTCTTTGTTCCCCCTACGATGGCATGACCACCCTAGTGTAGAGATGGTTTGTTCACATTAACTTTTTTCCTCTTCGCTTCCTTGATGTAGGGGAGGCATCAGTGAGATAGCTACAATGTCAGAACCAGCGGCCATTGAGAAGAAGAAAATTCCAGCTGGTATGAGTGGGCGAAGGGCTGTCCCACCCAATGTTTCCAATGAAGAAGAAGATGAAGTACCTGAAGTAGAGACAATTGGTGTGATACCAAGGGGATTTAAGAGAACAGGTATGACTAACCACTCAATTTGGAACTAATCAATACACCTGAGAATTTTTTCTTCACTTTCCTGTCAGCCATAAGGTTGTAAAATATAAAAATTCAGACAGAATTCAAGGGTGCGACACCTGCTTTTTCTCTTAGTGATTAGCAAATTGCAGAATATATTGTCATGGGCTAGGGAATACATGGGATATATTCCCTTGCAGTACTATAATACATCCTGCATGCTTGCTACCCAGATATACCCCTCTATTAGGCACTTCCATAAGGGGGGGCTTTATTGGCAGTTCAACCCATCTCCATGCCTGATCATGTATGCATTCTGGAACGGAGTTTATTTATGGTTGGCTTTGTTGCATTAGTTGAAAAAACATTGCAAAATTAATCTTTCTTGAAATACTGCAGTGCTTCAGCGAATTCCTTTTTTTCCTACTTTTGATTTGGTACCTAACAGCTTTCTTGCCCGTGTAGAGTTGTTCCCTGCATTTTGAGGTTAGTGGGAATAGGCGTGATCAGAGTTTGGATTTAAAGAGTTTCTATGGAAAGTGGAAACTCAGATGGTGTGGAAGGGCCCATTGTTCCCTTTAACATGCTCTTCATTTTTCTTCTCAGTAGTGAAGAGAAATGAAAGAGAAAACAGAGAAAAACTGTTTCCATTTGAAAGTCTCTGACCATTTTTTCCTTGAATTCTATAGTACACAAGAGACGTATAAGACTATTTCTTGTTCTTATTATTCAGACATACCCATTAAGATCATGACTTTATTATTAGGGCCAAAATGTGTCATGCAGTTTTTCTTTTCAGAAGGAAGAATAATTATCATGTCATATCATATCATATCATATCATATCATATCATATCATATCATATCATATCATAATTCCTCCTCCAGTCATTTTAGCTCAGGAATTCTGGGAGTTGAAGTCCACAAGTCATAACTTGCCAAATTTTCTGAAGACCTTTAATCTAGAGAAAGGGGAAAGAAGCACTAAATAACATACCGCACATCTCTGTATATTCTTATTTATATACTTAATTTCTATAGCTGCCATTTCAATAAATGGCTCTGGACATCACATCATAAATAACATAAAAAATAAAGCATCAAAAGGCAATACAGAACCAATATATATGGTCACTGAGTTAAACTATCACCACAGAAGTTAATATAGTGAAGAAACAAAGCCCATCACACTTTCAGACCTAGACCGGTAATGAGCTCTTCATGACCGTATGAAAGGCCAACAGGGTTGGAGTCATCCTCATCTCCGAAGAGAGAATATTTCAAAGGGCGGGGCTATGGCAAAGATGGCATGTCCCCTAGTCCCTGCCAGCTGACATGCCTTGGCTTGGCAGTAATACGCCCAACTTGCCGAATTGAATTGGACAGGTAGAAACAGCTAGGAGACAAAGATCCCTCCACTAACCCATGAAGGGCTTTAAGGTAATAACCAGCACCTTGAATTACACTGGAAACACACTGGCAGCCAATGTAGCTCACACAGTAGTAGTGTTGAACATACATGTGTTGCATATCTGACACCATTTACAGCTTGTGCCGCCATATTTTGTACTGGCTGAAGCTTTCAAATATTTTTTTAAGGGCAACCCTGTGTAGTGTGTTGTAGTAATCCAGATGAAGAAATCACAAGAACACGAGTGGCTCAGTGGTGGGATTCAATATTTTTTTACTACCGGTTCTGTGGGCGTGGCTTGGTGGGCGTGGCAGGGGAAGGATACTGTAAAATCTCCAGTAAGAGGTGGTATTTGCCAGTTCTCCAAACTACTCAATATTTCCACTAGCGGTTCTCCAGAACTGGTCAGAACCTGCTGAATACCACCTCTGGAGTGGCTGTGATCAAAGACTCTCGGTCCAGGGATGGGTGCAAAATGATGCATAACCAGAAGGTCCTCTAGTCATGGCTGCCACCTGGCCTTCCAACAGGACCTGTGAGTCCAGTGGATTCTCAAATTGTATACCGGCTCTCTCTGGGACAGTTTCCAGACTGTCCCATTCCACGAGAGATGGAAAAACCTTGTCACCAGAAGGCCCTCATGTCCAAAGTTATTCATTTTTGTTTGGGTTGAGTTGACACACATTGTACCTCATCCAGGCCCCTACAGGCTCTAGGCACTGGAACAGGACAACCATAGCATTGCTCAGGTGACCTTGGGTGGAGATGTAAGGCTGGGTACCATCAGCATATTGATGATATTTCACTCAGCAGTCTCATGTAGACATTAAATAGGGGAGAACTGGGCCCTGGGGCACTCCACAGAGCAGGGGCTGTGGGATGGATGTCTCACCTCTCCTGCCAGTCAACACCAACTGGAACCGATTCTGGAGGAAGAAGAAGAACCAGTGCAATACATTGCCATCCAACCCTCTAATCCAGAACTGATTCAGAAGAATCAAGAAGGTCAAGGGTAGATGCACTACCCCTATCATCATCACCCTCTAAAACATAGACAGCAGAAAAACACAGCACACTACAAACATTTAAAATACAAAATATAGCCATGGAAATGCCTAGCAAGAATTTGTTAGTAAGGATGTAAGGTAGATTAGTTTTGAAAAATAGTTCCTGAGCTGTCATTTTAAAAAGCAAAACAAAAAGACCTTTTTTTTAAAAAAAAAGTTCTGAATGGCTCTTGGGATTGTTGGGACAGGACAATATTGGTAGATGCACAGGTTCAGATAGAAGAAGACAGCCTTTTCAATAGTCTGTCCATAAACTATTCAAGCTCACCACCAGCACTTTTAAGATCAGAAACAAAATAGAAGCTAGTGCATCTGCTGTGTTATGGAATCATTTGCCTCTATCCGTAACTTCTACTAGCAAATGCGTGGTGGCATTCCAGGAGAAGTGTGGGTTTTTAATGCTTTTCGAAAGTAACCATATATGGAATCTATCGCACTAATTCTGATATGATAAGGTAAAGGAACGTAGTGAATTTAACTGTCATCAAATGAGAAAGCTGGAAATTTGAAAGTGAGTGAGTTAGATTGTGCTTTATGCGCAGGGGAATTCCCCAGCCAGCTGGGAGTGGAAGTCCACCTGGCTTAAAGTTGCCAAGGTTGGAGACCCCTGCTTTATGGCATCTTCCTGCTATTTACATATTTAAAAGTTCCTGTAACTGCACATACATAGGCTTGCTAAAATGCAGTTTGCAAAATGTATGGTATGGGGCCCACTGGCATGCACACGGGCACACACAAGGGCACACACACAAACATTCATGGAAAAAACTTGCGAATGGAGCTAATCCTCGGCTTACAACCATTCACTTAATGGCCATTCGAAGTTACAACGGCACTGAAAAAAAAAAGACTTATGACCATTTGTCACTGTGATGACCATTGCGGCATCCCCGTGATCATGTGATTTACATTCAGATGCTTGACAACTAACTCACATTTATGATGGTTGCAGTGTCCCAGGGGTCACATGAGGATCCCCTTTTGTGACCTACTGACAAGCAAAATCCATGGAGAAACCAGATTCACTTAGCACCCAGGTCACTAATTGAACAACTGCAGTGATTCACTTAACAACAGTGGCAAGAAAAGCCGTAAAACGGGGCAAAACTCACTTAACAAATTTCTTACGTAGCGACATAAATTTTGGGCTCATTTCAGACGTGGTATTCAGCAGGTTGTGACTGGTTCTGGAGAACCGGTAGCGGAAATTTTGAGTAGTTCAGAGAACGGGCAAACGCCACCTCTGACTGGAGATTTTACAGTATCCTTCCCTGCCACGCCCACCAAGCCACGCCTACAGAACCGGTACTAAAAAAAATTGAATCCCACCACTGGCTCAATTGTGGTTGTAAATTGAGGACTCTGTAATCAGGATCTATAGGAGAGGAGAGGTAACGACAGAAAATGGAAGGATGAGGTTACCAGATTAACTGGTTATACTACATAAGGTAATACAGGTCTGAGATCAGTTGTCTCCCAATTGCCCCGAGAAGCAGATGAAATGGAAGATTAACACGGCAGCAGACCCAGCCGCAACAGGCTATTTGGTGACATGGAGCAATATGACCTTTGTCCACTGGCAACAGCAATAAAATTGAGTGATAGTTACCAGTTGGAAGGAATTGGACTTAGGAATTGGAATTAAGCGATCCAGGTCAGAAACAAAGCAAAGGAGCACTTGAAAATGCAGCAAAGCCAAGAGGTTGGAAAGATAAAAAGTTGCAGCCCAGTCCTGAAGACCCTTATAGTCCTTTTATCTAGGGGAGGTTAAAGAACCAGCCTCAATGACTGGAGCCAATCCAAAGGGTGATACCAGGAAAGCACTTCAGGCAATAATAGATACAGTTCGCACAAGCATGCGACAGATTTGAGTCAGGCTTTTTGGAGATACTTAAGAATCACATTAACAAAACGTTTTCATTTGGAGCACCTCAGAAACACTGTTTTAATGTCTTGGAAGAAGAAGCCTTCAAAATGAGCTGTCCATTGGCTATTTCAATAGAGGGTTAAGAAAACAGCCCTTGACTCCAAACAGAATTGTCAACCCTTCAGATTGCCCAGTTCAATCTGTTTTCATTTTGCTTAATATGACTCTGATCAGTATTTTTCGTCATTCATTTGTTCTGTGTTTAATACCCTCAAACTTTTCTAAGTGTGCTTTGTGATTTTTCACTGTTGTGCATGTGCATATGCGTGGCAGACACACATATAACATTCAGACATCATTTCAAGCATGGCTATCATCATTCTGGTAGAAATCCTAGGAGGAGTTCCTCACATAAATTAACAACAATCTTGTCAGGGTTGTTGTAAATTGGCTGCTGGCACATGTACAAGAGAGTGAAGTGAACAGATGGTCCGGGTATGAAGAATCAGTGGGGGGGTGTACTATTAAAGAGAACCTGTTGCCATGGAGATGTGGCCTCTCACAGGGAGTTGGTCCATTGGGAAAGCTGTGCTGAATGCATTCTTGATATGCTCGATGAGCTCCAGGTTCTTTTGTCCAAGGAACTGGTTAACATG